CTATATATTATAGTACAATATAGATTCACGTAGTCAAAATATAATGGTCAGCGGGCCGTTTACTCAGAGAGCAAGCTCTTAGCAGCCTTAGATTGAGCTCATGTGGTCCTGCTGATTTGTCAATAGCCAGAGTGCCTTGTATCTGGAAGTAGTTGTCATGGGAGTTTATCAGGTTTAGCAAGTAGCTGAAGACTGCGATACCACGACATGCTTGAAAACATAAGCGCCAGCCAAAGCGTAGTAATCGCCCGCACACGAACTTACTATCATACTGGTTTTAAACTGGAAAGTGGAATTCAGCCCTGGCAGAGACCATACGGATGGCCTCAACTATGTGGTACTCCCTGGTTTATACATTTGGGACATTGGAGGCGAAAGATTAGAAGCTAGCTGTAAAATTGAGCCTGCTTTACAGACTTCAGTTGACGTATCTGCAATCATTATGTTAACTTCTTCAGAGGTTTAGAGGGAATTGTACCGACAAACTTTAGATACGGCTCATTATTTCTTTCTGACGTTCTGGTGAGTGGCACTCATTAGTTGTACCTAGTACTCTGTAGTCATCGTGAACTCGGAGGATTCCATGACCGCAATAACCGATTTGGATTTTTTCAATCTGGAGTTTTCTTAGCACGTAATAATAATTCCTATGTTTACGTGTGGACATCAATAGATTCATGTTCCGGCATCCGTGTACAACTCATTGATAACGCTGTATTGCAATGTCTACGTGTCACAGAGCACTAACTGATATGAATGAAAAGTCATTTGTGAGTTGCGACAATGAGCTATACGCTATTGCGAAAGATTTGTCGACGAATGCTAGCTATAAGATATACGGCTGTTGCCGATTGAGTGTTCCAGTGATCCACAAAGATCCACTTTTGAAGCTATCTACGCATGACTGCTAAGGAGCGGTAAGAACTCTGCAGAAAATCCCATTTTTCTAAAACAGAAGAAGCTTATGCCTGGCTAATGGATCTGATCTGTTTTACTTGATGAGACAGTGTGTAGTAGAATCTGTTCCACCTTAAAGTGGCCGCAGTATGACTCCCCTGGGAGACGACTATGTTGACGACAAATAGATAACAGGTTGATACTTGTTAATATTCGTGCGGTCTCTAGAAGTGTGCTTGAAAAGATCAGAGGCGATTGGGTGAAAATTAAGTACTATCCTAGAAACCTGACGACATGATAACGCACAGAAACAAACTCGCTTTCCTAAACTGTCTTCCTTAATTGAGTCTCCAAGTATTATCGGAGTGTTAGCAGTGTGCTTATTTACACAACTGCAAAGAAAGTGGACGAAGACTGGCGCTGTAACGGAAAGCTATGTGTTGCGTCCAAGCTTCTCTGAACTTCTGAAGCTCATAGAAGATGGTCTGAATCGCGCAGACAGTCGGTGGTCTCGTATTTTATGCAACCCCCTAGAAGGAGGTCTTTCTGCAGCGAATGACCTTTCTTACACATCGCTTTCCACTTTCTAAGGGGGGGGCATGGAATATAGGACTGCCTACTCTTTTTAGTAATGACGGATAGCGGCTAGCATTGGAATCCAGAAAGCGCATTTCGTCTTATTTGGGACTCGTCAGCTGGATGTACCTGCCCTTGGTGAGCAATCATGCTACAACCTGCTCCTTGCTTGACTTAAGCAGATTCAGTAAGCTCCTCAACTCGTTGAAATGAGTTTCTTTGGCAGATGAAGAGACAAACGCATGGAGTGTGTTTATATAGTTGTGTTTCAAGAGAAACATCCAACTATCCGAACGCGTCAAACACGTTGGCCGTTTGTAGCGCAAAAGTAGAATTTCGGGCGTTCCTGATTCAAATTGTAGGTGGTTAAAAAAATAAATGAAAACGTCATAATTCATAAACGCTGTCAATGTATTGAAAAGTAACACACCCATATTCACTTCATACTTCTCCCACACTTTTGGTCATATGATAAATGTTACCATTCTGCCCTCTGTCCCAGCACAAACCGCTTTAAAGTTTTCAGTTTCTTAACTGATGAAGCCTGTAAACTGGCTTCTTTCCTGCCGAATCTATGGTATGAAAATGAAGAGGTTTGTATGTTCATCAGTCTGCCGAAGGTCTCAAGAAAATATCTTGGGCTGCTACGTAGTGAGACATGGATGCTGCAAACCGAAATGAAACAACGATTGAGCTGAAGCAGCTAACATGCGGTACGTCGAAACAGCATTCATTGTAACCTTACCAACGGCTCTCCTCCGCTGCCGCTGATATTGTGGACACGACTCAGTCGTCCACTTATCTGTGAGACATCTGGTCTCGCGAGATACCACTTCATTCGCAAAATCGATAATATTTCTATTCGCGCTATTTACCACCTGCTTGCTGCCATCTCACTATATGCGATTATCATATCGATTTAAATTCTACATATTTCTCCATTCCTTCTCAACTTCATTGAATATACCCAGATTTCTCCAGTGATTTTCCTCTCCATCCTTCGCTTGCTTCTGCTTTACCCATGATATCCTTTCTCTGGCTAACTCTTGGACGCTCCTATATATCTTTTGAATAGTCCAAACAACTGTGAGAACACGAAATATGAAAAAGCCACCTGAACCGAAATTCCCACACAAATCAAAAATATTACGTTGAATGCAACCGGCAAGCTGGCAAGTTTACCGGTGCTGAAAGCAGGTGAGTAGCTGGATGCACAGCGTAAAAACTTGCTAAGGATCCGGAAATTCTCATGAAACTGAAGAGCAAGTGCCAAGAAAACAAAACTGAGTTATATAAACCTCATAAACAGATATTAGAAAAGCGAGTAACATCTTAGCACTCGGATACACTCTCGACATTTTTTGTGACCACACGGTAAAGCCTATTGCCTTTTCGCTGTAAAGGAAATAACCTTCGATTACAGTGAGTCTGAAAAGTTTTCACGTGGATTTCTTGTAGTAAATCGTCTGTCTTGAAAATAGGCAAATTATTTTGATACGCCTAGCAAACGGTCATTATAGTTTCCCGTTCCCCCACTCATGTGCCACATGTCTTCGTCAAGTTCACTCTTAGCCTCCGCGAGGCAAACAAAGCTCTGCGAAGGTGGTTATGACGGACTGGGGTGCCACCCCGCAATGGCCTGTGATATACAGAGTTTGGAATGCAAGAGTTGGTGCCATGACTACTCCAAAAGTTTTACGCCCTTAGCTCAAAAATATCCAGTTCAGTGTCTGGTTGCCTGTCACGCTGGCCAAATATTTGCGAAAGTACATTTAAATAAAACCATGAAGAAGCTCGCATCCAATGAAACTTGATAATTGTCATCGCAATAATGACAGAACATCAGCCGATGCACAGGCAACCACGCCAATTTCGGAATGCCAAAATAAAAAAGAAAGTCCGGCTCCTAGACAACCAGTATGGATTGTGGATCGCGAGCATTTCCGCAACAAAATGCAGGAAAGAGTAATCAAGGAAGCCACTACAATTCATCTGGATAGAAACACCATTGTCTCGTTCGCAACATGGCCTTCGTAGGAGTTCCTCTTGATTGATGATCCTTCTCACAGTCAGAGAATGTCGGGCTAAGTCTACGGATAACAGGATACCTGCAGATGTCATTTTCATAGACTTCAGCAAGCCGTTCGACACAGTACTCCATTTCAGGTTCCTCGGGAAACCGTAAAGTTTCTGGATCACAGGCGATCTACTTGAGCTGATCAAAGAGTGCCTTGTTGGTGGGAAGCAAAGAGTAAGGACCAATTCTCAACTCTCTTCGTTGAAGTCGGTTGAGAGTGGGTTGCCGCTTGGTTTAGTCCTGAGTCACATAAAATGAGTTGAGCGTGGAAGTTTGCCAAGAAGGTTCTTTCTGATTTCGACTAAGGGGCAATATGTAGCTGACAGAGTACACGATGAGAAGTTAATGGTTCTGCTCAAGTTCAAACTGTTACAAAACCTTCTAATTTGGTTGAGATGGCGCCTAAAAGACTGAGTGTTCTGCGGGACGGCGAGGACTCTGTCAACGCATGCTTTCAGAAAAAGGTTGAGAATACTTGGAGAAAGAGTTTCGGTCGGTGTGAAATGTGATCTTTATCCAGGAATTCCGTTCAACAAATACCAGCCTAGATGGTTAAGCCTGGTGGACAATTTGCGAAGAAATAAAACAACATTTCCTGGTTCGTTATTTTCAAAGCGTGCAGATTAAAATATAAGTGGCTAGTTTCCAAGCTGCATTTCTTTTTAAAACATATTGGAAATCGATTTTGCCTGCAACTCAGCGGAAAACCCATTAAGATGGCACACCAGTGAGCCAACACCATACTCAGGTCCAATTTTTTCTCCCTGAGAATATGCGCTTCATAGAATGGCTTGCCGTGACATACCGTTATAGCTCCCTCGGTCAACCCATTCAAGAGACGATTAGACAGTTATGTCATCTCGCATAGTCTACCACGGATGTACTCAGGTAGTCACCAACCTCACTAGCCCACCCCCAACTCCCCCCTACCTACCACTCACTATCTCTCTCCTTGATACACCAACATTACCTACTAATTTTTCCGCAGGAACTAAACCCACACTACCATTCAAGCAATTCCCACATACTTTTCCCTCTCTTTAATTTCTCTTCTTCACACCTCCTTTTCTTCGCCCTTCTTTCCTTCCCTTTTTCTCTCCCCTTATTTTTTTCTCCTTCATTATTTTACTGCCACCTTGCTATTCCCTTTCAGGCACCTACACAAACAGGAGCCGCGACGGTCCCCTAAACTTCTCAGCAACCCGTAGCTCCCCAATCACTCTACAAATTGCAACTTACCCACAAAACATCCACCTCACCTAGACTAAAAGCAAGAAAGCAGAGGGGATTTCCTCGTCCACTGTAGAAGTGAACCAAACAACTCGAACCAAGCCCTAAAGACTAGATGCGAGAGGTCAAAAACTATCACTTTTCTACGCTCGCACTATCAATATTGGATATTATCAAGAACTGCTTCGGAAAGTAGCGGACATTTCTCTTTGTGCGTTACCTCACGAAGTATGTGTTAGGTGTGACTATTGTTTACAGTGTAATGTTCCCTTGATTCTTGCCATAAATTTCTACATTTCAGTTTTCTTTTACAGAATTGAGTTCTAGACCGTGAAATTAACTTTGTTTTAACGAGAAATGTTGTGACTTGCAGCATATGCTGTAAGTGGGATGAAGAACAGGCATGTATATAATTCATACTTGCGAGATTCTGTCCGCTGATTGTTTATCTCGTCTTGTAGACTGAATGCTAAAGATTAAAGCTAAATATTGAAATGGCTTGATCTCGGCCTTTAAGTAATTGGAGTTGGTCAAGAGGACTTTGACCCATATTTGCTTATTTCTATAGACGTTTAGACATCCTTGTGTCCTCCAGTCTGGAAAGAAAAAGGTAAGCTAGAGAAAATACCGTTGAAAGATACCACAAAATGAAGTGGATAAGTATCACCATGATATATTGACTGGGATTTCATTATTCTTGACCAGAGTGTGAGTAGATACGAGCTGTTAAAGAAATTCAATGAGATGCGGTTTACCTGCTTTCACTTGTGAGAATCATATGGAAAACTCATTTTGGGTGCTTTGTCAGAAAGGAGAAAAGGGGGTTCACGTAGAGGAAGTGTGCAGATGAAAGTCACATGTATAGGCGCGTTGACACATTTTCTTTGCCACTTACCTGTTCGACGATTTGCTATGTAAAAAGTTGGAATACACTGACAAGTCACTGACTAAAACTAGCTATCCCAAAAGCTTTATGATGACGCATCAACAAAGTTGTAATAAGGAAAACCTGGATCAGTTAGCGTTCAAAAGAAATTGCTTTCCGTGAGACTGCAATTCGATAAAGATGTAGCCAGCGAAGTTGTGTGTCGAAGACTTTCTCGAGCGTTGAGTACTTTCCATACTGCTAAGCTTTGTTCATCATTTTCCAGCGACCGATCGTTGTCGCTGAAACGGAAGATACCGTTACCGAATTCTTCTGTCTATGTATATTTTCACTTCTGGAAGATGTCTGCTTAGTGAATCTAATTTCTTGGATGAGGTTTAATGTACGTTGGGTTCAAAAAGCGAAATATTCGCATTGGATTATTTGAAGACTTTTTGGAGAGTATACAGCACTTACAAACTTTAGAAGCTACGCCTTTATGGTTTTTTGATGTTTTAAGATCTTGGTTTTGGATGATCTTCAAGTCCTTGTCTCCCAATGCCTTGGTTAGAAGCGTACGTTTGATTGGAGTGGAGCTGTGGCTCGTTGGTTTAGCGAGCCGAATTTCAATCAGTGGGTCGTAGGTTCAAAGCCCGCTCCATCTACCGAGGTTCAGGTAACCAGGTAATACCATTAGGTATCATATAACAGGTGTGACTCATTGCTTACTGCATGAATGCGCACAAGGTTGCTGATTGCATTTCGATTTGATTCACCTTTGATTGAGTAATAACGTTGATATTCACAACCAATTTTTGTGAATAAGTTACTACGTTGACTATTGGTTGAATCACTGGACTATTGGGTTGGCATCATTATGTAGCGGCATCCTTTCTTGACCACCACGCATAACCCTTCAGAGCCTAGCACCACCCACAAACCTAAACCTGATGACAAATGTACGAGGTAATTCTTTGGTATTTATTAGGAAGCGACAAGGTATGCCACTTTCCAACGGTCATCGTGCAGATAGCGTTTATCAACGCTCAAATACGAACTGTAACTCCGAGACTGGTCTATTTTACCCCCTCTCCTATTTAACAGAACGTGGAGTGATTGAGGGCACTGACCACTTCATGTAATCAGGGATTCTTATCAATCCTGTTGGACCCGTGACCGACGAAATCTCGGTGTGGATATAAAAGGTTCGATTGGCTTTTGCGAATTTATGCCACTTATTATGCTGTCACGATATCCAGTTATCTATTGAGGAGTGAGTCCACTGCGCTCCAGTCCGTTCACGGTTTGCTGTTAAAAGGCCTGGCTTTTGACCCGTTTCTGTGAGACGTTTGCTTGCGGATGGTAATGTCTGCCTGCTTCGTGTATTTATTGGACCGTTCGAGTGTAGTTTTTACTCCAACGGTATTTGGATTTTTTCACTACCCTTGACTTCATATTTCAACCAATCGTCACAATGTGTCAGACAAGAAATCAGCGTAGAGCCTGGGATTACTACTTGACAGTCCAAGTTGACACATCTCACATCAGCACATCAAACGAAAATGCACTGAGGTTAAGGGTAAAGGAGTTGAGATGAAAGTAGTCAAAAGTAATGAGAAGTCATTGAAAAAGGGCAAGAAATAATAAGAGAATGCTGAAATTCAGTTTGATGATTGGGACGAGGATAATTTTGTATACATTTACGCCACTGAGATCGATTGTCAGCCATATCACCAGCCACCAACTTCGGTTGTCACGTGGATGCAAACACGAAAGTCAACGGTTTCCTACACACCTCATATCATCAGTCACAGAGACATGCATTGATGCCATGCTTTAGCTTAGTAGCCTGTAACTACTTTCCAGCGTGAGCCTACCTGGGGTAACAGTGCATAATGATGCAGAAAGTGATATGGGATGCGTACCACATGTCCCAGTCATCTGAGTCTATAAAGGTTGGCAAGATCATCGACTGACCTTCCTGCTTTCTCTAAAACTTATGCCTGACTTCTACGTTACTGACATGGTGACACCACGACACTCGCCCGATGCAATGGAGGCGATGGTGATCGACTACATGAAGCCTTCCCCTACCCTCTACCTTTAACGGCCGTGTATCACAGTCACATAGTAAAGGAGAAAAGACTACAGCGTGGTACACCCAGCACTTGACGTTTGGTATGCAGCCACTGTTAGTGCAAATGCAGAGCGTAAAGTAGTGAAATTTTTCGAGCCCTTCACCCAAGTTAGAAGTTATGTCAGGCCGATTGGGATTTTGGCTGACACAATTTGAGCTCAGATACTAAAGGCCGTCCAGCCTTCGCCAAATTATGAAATTTAAGTCAGTCGATAAGGTTGTGAATCTTCACCGACTGAGATGAGTTGCACGTATATTCCGCATGCTGACACACCATTTACCTCGATGCACGATGTTATTTAAAGTAGGATTATTTTATAAGAAAGCTGAAGGTGACTAGATCAAGGTGCGTTACGAATTTATAGTTTGACTGTTAACCTAAACAGTATATGTGAGATTTAGACTACCTGACTGGGGTCGTTGAGACGATAACAATCGATGGTTACAGATTCTTGATATAGTTAAACAGCGACCAGATGTGCATGCTCTTTTTCATGCTCGAAATTTCGGGCAAATTGAACTAATGCGGTTTTGTTCTAGGTTCCAAGTTGATATCTTTATCCGTACACTGTTATGCAAGTGTGACATATGAGGTTATGCTTTGCATATAAAAATCTGGATCTAAATATGTTAATCTTGGTTACATCTGACTCTGTTTTGAGATCATTCTCACTGTGAATGTTGAGATGTGTAACTTTTGTGTGCGTGACTTTCTGTCCCACACCTATAAGGTTCGATCTCTTCGACTTAGATGCCTGTTGTTTTTACTTATTAAGTGATTGTAGTGTTGTAGGATCACGCTGCTCTGTTGGGAACAATATGCAGGTTTAATGCATCTGGGTGTGATAGTTGTTATTCAATAAGCGATGTCATATTAAAAACTCATCTATTGTGACTTAGACAAATGTCATGAACATCCTACCAAAAAGTTTATACATCTTTCATCGTTCTCTTGCACTAGGACGTTTTGGAATGTACAAAGATATGTGCGGCGTGTGGCATGCATCTTTAGGATGAAATGTACTTGGGTTGGGTTAGGATCTACTAGTAAATATCAACTCTTTGGGTGGGATCTAAGTGGTTATGTGATTCGGTTAATGAAGATATATTCCACTATTACTCAGAACCGGAGCTGATGGTAATCATGCTGTGATTTCCTCATATACGCTGTTGTGGAAATGTGATGTCCTTAGTCTATATAAGGTTACGTCCCGTAATCTCATTGTAAAGAGGATTACGTAATAGTCTTCGATTATGTGATTACTATTACTTGAAGGCTTCAAATGTTCGACCATCGCTGCCTATTTAGAAAAGTCCTTGTTGTGGTGCAACCTCATTAGTAACGTAGAAACCAGATAGAGTTCTAGACGAAGAGGTAAGTCAGTTGATGAAGTTGGGAACCTCCATCGACTGAGGTGAATAGAACGTGTTACACACGCCTAAGCAATATCTACTCCGCCAAGCAGCATTAGCGAAAGTATGTTTAGGCTAGAGAAAAGCCAAAGATGACTAGACTAAAACGTGGCATCAGTTCATGAAGTCTTTGATTGATTGGCTGCTCAATGTTTGGTTCCACTGCCTTTTGTTGATTGTAGAGTCTGTTGGTGGCGCTATAATTATCGTAAGGGGGTGGGGAAAGCTTGTTGGACTTTCTTCGTTATTTTCCAGATTTTGTATCACTTACTGACTGGTTCTCACCTGACAACCTGGGTATTTAAAATGGTACCTCTGCTTGGGCATTGAGGTTCCTGTTTTGATTGTTGGCGTTAGTGGAGAGTAGTGATGAAGCATGATTTACTTTCTGTGTTATTGTGAGACACGCATACTAAAGGTCCTCAAATCACCACTCATTTGTGTCCAGAATTCTTCATCGTGTCAGCATTTTCACTTAACAGGAGTAATTTGCGTGTTTTTTATTGACTAATTATTGTGCTGTGACATGATCATTTCCTGTAACACCAGAAAATAAGGGGAGACCTCCATATGGACGTCTTTAGTAAAACTGAGTAATAATGGAAGGTGGATATCCTTGGTGTACACCACTTGACATACACAACTCAATTGACAAGTCAGAGGTAAACATATTTAACTTCCCTGTTCTTGCTAACACTTCAGAGCACTTGACCAGTCGTCGACCAGCTTCCTTAACTATCTCATAGTATCAGTCCTTCTACCATTCGTCTTTTCAGATTACAGGTCACGTGTAAGTTGGAATACACAACAGAATGTCATCATCATATGTGTAATAAGGTTTATGTTTCATACTGAGTTGTTTGCTTTTTGGAATGTTTAACTTGATGACGTTGTGTACACGTCTTTCTCAAGACACAATACTAAGTTGATTACAACAAATTATTTTTACTGTTTAGGAATCTTCAAGGAATATGCGTTATTCACTAATGTCTCTGTCATGAGTTTAATTTGTCCCACTGTTTTTGTCTTGCAGATGTGTTGGGTCCTCTTATGGTAGCGTTTTACTAAATTCTATTTGTATTGAATATAACTAGGTATGAGAATTCGATCGATCGGAGTTGGTTTTCGCTTGCCTGATCCCATCAAACCATCGTTCCTTCTGGTGGATAGTATGTCTAGAAAAGGCAAATGTTTGTCACTGAATACTTCACGTAACAAATCGGTATAGCTTTCTACGGTATGTTTCTCTGATAGGTTTGTTGCATCATCATGTCTAACGCATAATACTAAGATGTCATCAGCTCATTTCCTCTGCAGAAGAAACTTGCTGACTAAATCTTCAGCCACAACTGCGTATGAAAAGAACGCCAACTGATAATAGTCCTAAAAGAGCACCCATAGTGTCGCAGCTGACTTGTCGAAAACTTTTGGATTCAAAACTGAAGTGAGCTCTATCAATGCGTAGTTAACTTAAAACAATATGAATCAACCCGGTATGTGTTTATGCAGCGTAACAGCTTATGATACCTGATACCCAGGACCAACTAAATATTGGAGCATATTAATAACACCTTTTTTCTAATATTTTAGGGGGATGGGGAATGAGGGATTATTCATTGGTATATAGAGTTGCAAGGGATGTTAGTAGTTAAAGGCGTATTGGCGCATAGTCTACATCAAAACTTTATATTGTCTCATCTTTGATATTGATGTCTTGTGAGCAGTCGATAAGTTCACATGTATATTTTAAAGAAAAGTTGCATTATTAGTTTCTGACTGCACTTAGTGTGTGAGTTAGCCATCTAGCCGGTTTGCATGTTAAGGAAAGACATATCAATCGCATTAAACGCAGTAGAATATTGGGTTTCTGTATCTAGGGGAAATCATATATTTTAGTGTAGCAACTTCTTCCTTCTCGATGACATTCATGCTTAGTTTGGCCAAATATGTAGTTGCTTTTTTCCCCACTTTTCATGTCTTCTGATGGGGGTTGCTCTATGAATTCCCTTTTACCAAAAGAGATCAATGGCTTTTAATCCTTGTAGTTTTGGCTGTTCATAACAACGATACCAGATCCCTTACTGGGTTTACGAATGACGGTGTCATGTCTGTTTTTAGTGCTCTGAAGTTCTTAAAACGCTGAAAAGTTGGTATGCTTGTCCGTTTTAAATCGGAGCTTTCGAATTCATGAGTGATATCAATAATTTTAGCCTTGAGCAAGCTTTCATTTCCTGGCATAGTTGAAACAAGGAAACTTACCTGATTAGAGGGGTTTCCAAACTGGTTGTTCACTATACAAATCGAAAGTTTCAACAGAAATGGCAGTTTAGTAAAATCTCTGTTACACTAACAAACAACATAATAGATGAAAGATTAGTTTCATGGTTAGCTGAAGTGAATAAATAAGAATTCATGTCATTAAAACGAGATCTGTGTAACTTTCGCACCAAATTCTTTTTAATTTTCTAATGATAGCACTGTGAAAATAATTGATAGAAAATGTGAGAGGAATCTCTAACAGCACAAACGATGGATGAAATTTCATTGGTTTGTGAAGCTCACCGCAGTTATCCAAACTAGATTTCGAAAACGAATAACGTTTAAAACATTCGCCTTTGATTTACTAGACCTCCGTGATTTATGCAACTGCCTAAAAAAGTATCATTAGAAATACAAGACTTGGAAAAACTTAACTTCATTTCATCAGGTTAAATTTTGATCCTGAAGTCTATAAATTCACTTCTTCCGATATGATTTTGCACTTGGCTATAGACCCTGCGTTTCTTGTTTTTCATTTCTCTTAAGATGATAACCTTTCACTTAGCAGTTGAAATTGATATATGTAAGTCAGTACAACCATTTTTCACAGTTCTATCAAACTTTGAAACAAGAGTACATCAATTCGGTCCAGTCAACGACGGCGTAATACAAGCAGTAGCAGTTGTTTTTATGATGTAATGTGTAATACATTTTTATTTACTAGTATATTCTTATCAAGCATACTGTATAATACTGTCGTTTCAGGCGATCTTGTTTGATATGTCATCGGGATTTGCTCTTGGTTTTGCTGTCAGTGATACGCCATGGCATTTAGTTTCTCATTTGTTCCGGATAAAATTGGTGGCCGACCAGCATGGCTTGCCCTTCGTAATTTGCCATCTCCAAATGAACTTATTTGCCCATTATGCTCAAATCCAATGTGCTTTGTCCTACAAGTATTGGCATCACCTTAGTTATTTCCTTTGTATAGATATATTCGCCTTTGTCGGAGAAATCAGATTGTTTTCATCGAATGTTGTTTTTATTCATGTGTCGCAACGGTAAATGTCATCATCAGGCTGATTCGACACCATTTTGTGTGTTTCGTTCTCAATTACCTAGGGATAACTGCTATTACAGGTAAACATAGTGATTTTTTATAAGTCAACCGTTGTGCTAAGCTTTGAACCGCCGAAGAATGAAAGTCCTCAATGGGAAACGTTAAAATCTATGTTTGAAAAGAACTCTCTTCCTTGGGCTGGTAAATATTCTTCTCTCTGCCCGACATGTGGATGCAAAGCAAACAAAACTTGTTCCAAGTGTAAAACTGTATGTTATTGTTCTAAAGTACATCAGGTAATCATTACTTTAGTAATGTAAATGAGTTGTCAATTTCTCTAACATAATTAGGTTTTGGATTGGAAACGACATAAATCGGAGTGTGGATCGAAGTGTGAATCAAGGTGTGATGCGATGAAGTTATTATTTGAGAGAAACACCTTTTTACTCCCTGAATATCGCCTATGTTCTGAACCTGCAGACGATAGGAGTGATGATGATGTCAACGAAGAAAGCGACAGTGAAATATCTGAATTAGAAATTCAAAAGTAAGGTAACCATAATAAAACTTTGGTTATCTTTTCGTTAGTTGTTCGTTGTCTTTGTGTTACTAGGGCATGGTATTTGCCTGAAAGCCTCGAACTTAGCTTTCAGCCTTACCGGTACACATCAGCAATTTGTTTTGAAATCTTGTGGAAATCACAGTTGTTTGGAGATTTTGCTGTTGACACCCAAAATTACGGAACAGAAACAACAGTGATTAGGCTATTCAGAGACCAGAAGTCTTTGGCAAAGTAGTACACATAAATTAGGCTTAAGTACTCAGGTCATAATGTTGTTATAACGTTTTCTGGTTGTAATTGTCTTGAGTACTTGATTCTGCCGACTCAGTCCTAACGCTGGCATTGCACGTGATTGGTCTCGAACATACTTGCCCAATTTAGCATACTCAACCCACCCATAACGTGAATCTATATGCACTTTGATATCTCACTGCAAACTATTCGGCCCTATACGCGTACTGCGCTTTAGTTTAAGTGTCATCATTATTTCAAACTCTAGATATGATTTAGAAGTGAGCCAATTGACTTCAAAGCTATAAATAAATACATTACTGTCGAGTTAATATCGTTGGATTTAGAAATCAATATTTTTTCCAATACTCAATATTTTGAACCACAAATATTCTTGTTTTGTCCAGGTTTTCTTTTTTTCTGTCACAGTGATAATGAAACGAAAGCTCTCGAATCTATAGCCAAAAAGGAAACTAAAGAAGAAGCGAGATTTCGAAAGTTTAAGGAAGTCATGAAATCAGCTCCAGACCAGGTGAGTTGCACATAAGTATTGTTAACTGTGCTATATTATCTCGTTTCTTTTTGTCTATTCGATATGCTACCGTAATTCTTCGCACCTTCTGTCCGTTTTATTTTACGCTAAAACTTCACCTAACTTGCGTTCTAATCCTTGTCAATACAGAGACGTTACCGTAGAATACAACAGTGCTCCAAGCTTTTAGTTCTTAAAATACCCTATCCATTCTGAGTATCTTGTATTCGAAATTAATGCTATTTGTCAACTAACGTCCGCCATTTTCGGAAACGTTAGAGCCTATTTCAACTGTTTTGAACAAAGACATTTTTAGAGCTTGTTAAACTGCTACCTAAATATCTCTTTATTTGTAGGTTATATAAGTATGAACCGAAAATATCGTAGAAGGGGCTACAACATTTTAGCCACAACATTAGTGCTCTGTGCTACAATATTTAACAGCATGATGAGTTCTAGTTGGAGACTTCATAACAGCGAGTTAGCAATTCAAAGATGGCTAGTTCTGATCTGACTGTCACTTAGTTTTTCTGTCGCTCATGATTATATATATAGGGTAAAGTGCAAAGTTTAAAACAAATGTTCGGAGGGAAAGCAAATTAGCTAATTCGTTGGAGAATGGATTATTAACTAAAAAGGTACGATTTTGAAAACTTTACTGCGCAAAAACACTATTTTGTAACTTTTGTTCAGTTATCCGTACACAGATTTAAAACCGTTGCTTTTTAAAGACGTGATGGCCATGGTAATTCTGTTCTCTCAATCAAATTACTTGCATAGCTGTCACCGTAATCCCAGAAAATGGTTTCAACCTTCTACTTACCGATTATTTGTGTAATGAAGTACTAACGTGAAACGAATGTAGAATAATTTCGTCGAATACTACAACTTTTTGGACTTTTTGCACAAACAACCATCAGTGTTTATTATTGCGGTAACTATTCCAGTCTATAAGAAAGGAGAGAAGTATGCTTGTGACAGCCACAGGGAAACCAGTTTAACTAGAATCATATTTAAAACCCGGGTACCCATAGTGTTCTGACGCTTACTGGAGCTGTGGATCAGAAAACTCGTGAAAACTACAGGTTTCAGGCCTGGACTAGGTTGAGCCGATCAGATATACGCCCTTCGTAAGGTTGCAGAACACAGGCATACTTACAGGGGGACGGACACTAGCTTTATTTCTTGACGTGAAGGTGGCATTCAATTCCGTCAACTATGAGGTGTTGTAGCTGTGTTTGAGTGTGAAGGGAGTACCAACCATGTATTTGTTGCTGAACAAAGCTTTCTACTGGAACTCACGCAGCTGTGTAAGAACTAATAAGAGTTGCCATGTGACTTGATAACAACTATCGTTGTCCGACCGTCACCACTGCTGTTCAATTTCTTAATAGATGTATTACTGAACATAACCCTGACATCACAGAGATTAACCAACTCGCTGGAGGGTACCTAGTAGTATGCAGATGATATTGTTGTATTAGGCGAATACGCTGCCGAAATGCGGGTCTTGTGAATACATGGAGCAGAAATCTGAGTATGCTTTGCATGTGTCAAATGTGAGATAGTGCTTGAAGACTGGTTTTCAGCAACTCCCAGTTTACGGATAGTGATTGAAGTGCTAGGATGCACTGACTAATTTACTTACTTTGGAAGTCGTATGAACTCGAACGGGGTGGTACAGAAGTCACTTTTGTCATTTTCCAACTTGTATGACCTCTGGTGATAGAGAGATATCCGATAACCTGTTAAAGGATGAGTACGTTGCACTGCTGTGTCCTATTGAATGTCTGTAGGACATCTCCTTTTGAAGGAAAGTAGATAAAAGCAAGTCAATACTGGTTTCCCAACGGATGTCTAGACAGCATTGATTATGTATGGTGGGATCAGCTTGTGGGGAGTGGCAAGATTATGCTTTGCTTTGTATTTGAGGGAAGCAAGTCAGTGTATGAAGTCTGAGGTGTGTAGGTAAGTGTAAGGTGTCTGCCTGGTGTTGTGAGGTCAACAAAAGTCAGTGTTTAGATGAATGAGTATCTTCCAGAATAATGCAGATGTATTCACTCTTCGACGTTTTCCAATGCTTGGACTTTTCATCAACCTTGATTTTCAGATTTCTTCTGTCATACACCTTTATGTACTCTAGTATCACCTTTTTGTATACATTTGTTGTTTGAATGCTGTTGTAAAGTTTGACAACTGGAGGGGATGTATGTCTGTGCAAGACCTTACTTTGATTTCGTCTGTCTGGTTTTTCTGTCACAGTGATATAAGTTGTGCGACACCATTCATCGTATCGATAAGTATTTATCATGCTAAGCATAATGATGTGCTTAGCGATTAGACAACAACTAAGTCGTTTCAGAATTAAAGTAATCCAAACACTATTTTGTAATAAAAATAAGTGGTACCAGAAATATTAGCAATTATGTAAATTTATTGTCTTTAGTGATTGTAATGTTTATGATTAGAGAACTTACTTCCTGTATCTGCTAAAAGTGGGCATATGCATACTTTGATTTATTCATCCACGTGTTTAGGTTGCTTAAAATCAACACATTATGAATCGTTTCACTAACAATTACATTCGGTATAAGTTGTGATACTATGAAATACACAAAATGCAGTCGCACTAGTGAATGAATAATATATTCCTTCTCAACTTGGTACTAATTACCATCAAATTAAAGATGATTTTTGAACTGAAGAAGTTTGTTTATAAGGAAGGGTATGAAATATTTGTACAGTTCTGTCGTTTGTTTACAAACGTAGGAGGCAAACAAATTGTATAGCACATGCAACAATAAAATAGACAGTAAATAGGTAGCGTCATTTGAACCGGATAAAATGCAGTTCCTAGAAGTTGGAAAACAGCAAAATGGAGAAATTCAAGTTGCATGAAGTTAAATTTATAGTCAATGCATGAAATTCAGGTCAATTTTAAAGGACCTTTCAGCCCCAGTAATAAGCAATCCTACTTACTGTCTGCGAAATATTGTGTATGAATCAATATCTGGTATTTATGTGTGCGATATTTAACGGTTGTTCAGGCGTGGTGAAGTGGGATGGACTCGAACTCATAACTTTCTGGTTGGTATCCGAGTATCTAGGCGTTTAAGTGACAGCCTCACAACCTGAAGAACTAGAAACTTCCGGCCATTCCTGTTAGTTTATTTCAAGGAGATAGTTATGTATTTGATAGATTCTACTGTGATATACTAGAAAAAGTAATGGAAATACTTGTTATTAATGCCGCTACCAATGTTATTTACATTTTTTTTCCATAAATTATCTTTGTCTTGCATATTTAGGTTATACGGTTTCAAAGAGGTGGTAATCCGATTTGGTTAAGTGAATCTCCTCCAATAGTGGAGGAGTGTGAAGTTTGTGGCGCTGAACGTATTTTCGAATTTCAGGTAATTTGTTATAGTGTGTAGTAACTGTACTGACATGTAAACAGTTGTGCGGTTGTATAATGATGCATACTTTTTGACTTTCTTATAGCACTAGTGTGTTTGCACGAAGTGCTCATTAGATGGTAATGAGTTTCATTCTCTGGGTCCAAATGTCAACTAAAGTTAGCTCATTCATGAAATCAGTATTTTCATTGGATTAGACGATATAGAAGTATGGTGCATTGGATGTTAAAAATTAGCAAACTGCAGATATTTTGAGCCTGGGATATAATTTTATTACCTTTTAGCGCTCCCCAGCAAACTGTTTATTTAGCTTACAAGAAATTTATGTTTGTATTATGGCTTACATTTTATCTTGTGCAGCTTCAATGCTCTAAGTGTTGTTGGTCGTCAGATATTGGTGAACGTCTTGTTTTGATCCAATAAATCACTAGTTCATGGCAAAAATTCAACCGTTTCCTTCTCTCTACTATTATCGTATACATTTCACTGTTCTGAATACCTTTAGTATCTTCTCTTATCGAAACTAAGTATTTGGAAATCATATTTTACTAACTTGGTACTCTTACGCCACTCTAATGACCTGCAACCACATGTACTGGGACAACCTCAGTCAATCTCCCTTGGATAGCTAACGGTGCCACGCTGATGCTCCTTACCAGTGAGAAAGAGGGGAGAGATAGAAAACGTCAGCCCCAAAAATAACACACTCAACCCTGCTACAGGGTCTTCCGGTGCCGGCGTTAGAACAATCAAACCTTAAGAAATCCCACAAAATGCCGCATGTGACAGGACTCAAGCAGATACTCATGGGCTCTGCGGTCACGCAAATGTTTTTCTCTTCCAGCTACCTTAAGCAGAAATAGCCATCCACCGTGTGAGTAGCCGGGAAATGTCAACCGCCCATCCGCTTCCAGTAATAAGCAAGTCCCAATCAGACATATCTATCCTCCCTAACTCTGTCTTCTCCTTTGCCGTCACCTCCTGATACTAATATTGAGCCTCTTAATCCTTACCCAACGTTTCACTCTGCGTCAACCGAAAATGATCAAAGCCATAGAAACCTTATTCCAACTTTCCTAAGACCCCTTTATCTATTTCATGTAAGCGCTTTCAACATCCAAACTCTATGACAAATCGGACAGCAGGTATCGCTCACCAGAACTCTAGAATCTCTAGCCATGGATATATGCTGTGTCTCTGAGACACGTATACAGGACTTGAGTGTGGTTATTTAATTGACCTAACCTGACCATAGTTGTTAATCTTCAAAATATACTTTACGAGCATCCGGAGGCTCGTTGGCTAGCTCTCGTGAACTCACTGGTGTAGGCATAGGATTAAGTTGTAGAGCAGAAGGTACACTTTTCGCCTGGATACTGGTAAATGGCGATCTATGTGCTATTCAACTGAATGGATCTATAAGGACTTACAACAATATTAATAACAATACTAATGATAATAATAGCTTTATTCCAAGCAACATGTGTGGTACAGTGTAGAATTCCCAGACTAGGAACGATCGTGTATGTGTATGTGTATTAGTAATCTCTGCCTACGCACCCAACGACAGTTGTTCGGATGATGCGAAGGATGAATTCTATGAACTGTCAACGTTCAGATTTAGTCATAATGGCAAGTGACTTTAGCTCTCAAGTAGGCAGGCTGAGCCATTCGAGGAAGTGTCTTCGTGGTATTTACGGAATCCTATGCCACCGACCCGACAACAGTGATCGTTTGGTGCGATTTTGCTCCGACAACTACTTTCCTGCCAGCACAAACTTTAAGCATAAGGAGAGAAACTGTCCCATATGGTGTCCGCGAATTCAAACCAATAATGGACACAGACCATATTGCTAAGGCCATCAATGGAGAGGATTAGCACTTCTTCTGGAGAAGTGCCAGTTTGAACTCCGATCATGCGTCATTATGGGATCGTGCGGTCTTGCCTTATTTCTTGATCTCATGACGGCATTTGACTCAGTCGACCGTGAGATGTTGTGACAGGGATATCCACAGTCACCGTTTCTGTTTAACTTCGTCATTGATGTATAACCTTAGGTACGTCTAACTTTACAGGTATTGACCTACTCCATGTCGGTCATCTGGTTGACTTGGAGTGTACAGACGATACTTTCCTGATGGGTGGACGCGTTGAGCAGAAATCTGAAAATGTTTGACATGCATCTCTGGCACCTGTCAAATGTAAGGTGATGCTACATCATCATCATCATCATCATCAATATCAACATAGGACCAGGCATTACTGCGTAACGGTCCGAGTTGCCACAGCTCATATCAGTACATCAAGTAAAAAGATAATGAGGCGCAAGATGAAGATAAGAAAATTCAGTCAAAAGAAATATAAAGTACGAAAAGAGAGAAAGGAAGAATGAGAAAATGGTGAGATTCGGTTTAGCGTCGTTAAGATGAGGATAATGTATTTATACATCTGCGCCACTGATATCGGTTCTGAACCATATCACCTAGAGTCTCCAACCACTGCTTCCCCTTGTCCCGCGGATCCCAACCGACTAGTCTGCATCGCTCCACATGGCTCAAACCAACAGTCAAAGACTTCATACATTTATGCCATGTTTTTAGTTGGCCATCTCGGGCCTTTTTCCAACCTGGACCTACTTCAGCCAACATTGTATGAAGAGGCGATCGGCGACTAGGCATACGTAATACGTGTCCCAACCATCTCAGTCGATGAAGGTTCATAACCTCGTCAACTGACTTACCTCTTCTCCTCCAAACTCTGTACCTGACGTCTGCGTTACCCACGCGGTAACACCAGGGAATACAGCTTATACTACGAAGGCAACGGTGGTGAAACACCTGAAGTCAGCCTTCTCATGTCTTCCACATTCAATGGCCATGTTTCACAGCCATACTGTAGAACAGAGTGGACTGCTATGCAGTACACGCCACCCTTAATTGCCAATCGGATATCATGGCGGCGCCATAGGTGGCGTAAGTTGGCAAAAGCCAGTCAAGCCTTTTGTATTTGTGCAGAGATTTCATCGGCCACTGAGGCACCAGGGCCGATCCCACTTCCCAGGTAAGTGAAGTGGTCGACACACTCAATCACTACACTCTATTATTAGCCGTGTCACCGTTGAAGACCAATCTTGGAGTAACAATTTACATTTAGGTGGTAAGAAACGCATCCCAAACATTCTCAAATTCCCACTCAAAGTGTTGAGAAGGCCTCTGCGTCTTGTCAGCGTCTTCTAATAGGGCTATGTCATCTGCATATTCTAGGCCTAATGAAAATTCTCCACCGATTAGGTCAACCTATGTGTAATCAGGTGACGAGAGGGAGACCTCCATAAGAATATCTATGATAAAATTGAATAAGATTGGAGATAGTAGACACGCTTGACGGATGATGAGTATAGCTCCCTGGACATCTCACCATAGGCTTTGACACGCCCACAAGTGTTCGAGTAGAGAGCCTTCAATAAGTGATGCTACAGGACTGGTCTAATGCAAATATTCACAGTTTATTGATAGGAAGTGGAGCAATGAAATGTATCAACCACTACACCTACTTGAGAAGTTGCGTGAGCCCGCCGAACGAGCTGGTTGGTGACGAAATCTCATTTTGGATACAGAAGCCCCGTTTGATATCAGCCAACGTGTGTCATTTGTGGTGACGAAGACCCTGACATCACAGAGATTAACCAACTCGCTGGAGGGTACCTAGTAGTATGCAGATGATATTGTTGTATTAGGCGAATACGCTGCCGAAATGCGGGTCTTGTGAATACATGGAGCAGAAATCTGAGTATGCTTTGCATGTGTCAAATGTGAGATAGTGCTTGAAGACTGGTTTTCAGCAACTCCCAGTTTTACGGATAGTGATTGAAGTGCTAGGATGCACTGACTAATTTACTTACTTTGGAAGTCGTATGAACTCGAACGGGGTGGTACAGAAGTCACTTTTGTCATTTTCCAACTTGTATGACCTCTGGTGATAGAGAGATATCCGATAACCTGTTAAAGGATGAGTACGTTGCACTGCTGTGTCCTATTGAATGTCTGTAGGACATCTCCTTTTGAAGGAAAGTAGATAAAGCAAGTCAATACTGGTTTTCCCAACGGATGTCTAGACAGCATTGATTATGTATGGTGGGATCAGCTTGTGGGGAGTGGCAAGATTATGCTTTGCTTTGTATTTGAGGGAAGCAAGTCAGTGTATGAAGTCTGAGGTGTGTAGGTAGGTGTAAGCTTTCTGTCTTCTCGTACACTTTTGTCTATTCTAGTATACTGTTTGTTTGAATGCTGTTGTAAGGTGTGGCCACTGGGAACGAAGGACTTCTATGCGAGGTCCCATGTTGATTTGTTTTCTTTTCTTTCTGGCTAACCTTCTTTTGCTTTGTGTTTCTTCTGCGCAGCCTCTTGGCAATGACTTCAAACACCATCATGCTGTTTTATGCTTGTTCTATCATGCATTTTATCTACGTTTGCGATGTATGGGGTTAAACATTTATCGACATACCGGTATATGTGTAATACATACAATATGAGTTTGTGTGTTTCTTTTTCTGTGGAAACTATCTTGATTGGTTTCTTTCTAACTAATGAAGGCTAGCAAGTCTGAAGGAAGTACGGATTATAAGACTATTCCAGTTGTGGAAAATCTCTAGAAATCATTATCTTGATACTTGTAGTCCTTATTCTCGTTGTGTGATGCATATAGTTTGCTGTTATCTTGATGAAATTCGGTGATTCATCGGAATACATACTTATTCCGATGCCGCAGAGTATTTGAATGACATACACTGGACATATGGTGATTGGTGAGGTGGAAATATACACCTTCAAATTGATGTGAATGTATTTGATTCCTCTTTTTAAAAAAAACAAGTATGCATTATCAGAATGACAGTGTTTCTGTCTTGCTAATCATTTTCCTAGGTTACACCTCAACTTCTCTGTCATTTGCAGTTGGATCGAGTTGATGAATTAAGTCCAGATTTTGGATCTTTATACATTTTCACCTGTTCTAATTCATGCCCATTGCCGCGAAAACGAATCAATATTGGAAATACAGAACAGCGGTGCAGTTCTCAACTTGATGATGAAGAATATTTGATTGAATACCAACGTGAGGTAGTAATTCGACAAATGGTTCCATAATTCATGATAATACACTGAATTAGAAAAAAGACATTCTGTTATGACCAGATTTGTATCCAATCTTTTCTTGTTAATAATCTTTTATAATACCAGTCACTGTACATTGAAAACAAAGCCCAAACATAGTGTAACACTTCACTTTATCCAGTTAAAAAAATGGTGAATTCAGGTATATACCTCATAATTAAAAATGCAGTTGAGTTATGGTTTTAGCTTTTAATTTGTAAGTGTTCCCCAACTTTGATCGATAGATTTTGGAAATGTCAAGTGGAGTTTACTTCCAAACGTAACAATACTTCAATTGTTGTCGTCATTCTTTTTATAATTCGTGAGAACTACTGATAGGTAGAAAAATGCGAACAATTTACGACTAGGCATAATGCGCAACAGTTCATGTTGTCATAATTCAGTGTATCAAGATAGCAACAAAAGGGGAGATTAAAAAAAGAAACTACTTATCAAAAGTGCCGGGAAGCTATAAGATATAAAGAAGGGGAAACGGATAACAACATGCAATCTAACGACTAATATGTGAATACATCTGCGCCACGGTGGTAGATTTTCTTGCTCTTTTGATTGTTTGTAGTAATTATGACGACAAAGCGCTTCTACGTGCCGTATGAATAGTCAGAATCCCACCTTTTGTCTGACAGATTTACGCTTGGATATAATTTGATATTATGGAAACACTTATTATGACGAGTTATTCACCTTCTCATTTAGTCTGGAACATTTTACATGAAGAAATATTGAAAAACAGGTTTCAGTGGCGACGGAGTTCTTTTGCCATATATTTGAAATATGAAATGAGAATGATTTTGGTTTATATAACCAATAATGAGACTGTTATAGTGTGGAATAAGATTACTAAAATCCAAATAGGAAGCCGTAATCTCCTGAAGCTTTTTTCAACCAATCATTTAGTTCCGAAGGTCTGGGCGAAAGCACGTAAACCAATGTGTAAATATCAGATTGATTGCAGAGGCGGAAAATCAATAGGATTCAAATATGGAAAAGCCCGAAAAAAGCCAAGGCCATTGTAAATGTGTATGAACCCTGGTATTTTGTACGTACTTCGTTGACGCTGCAATACACCTGTCATGTTTCCGCCTTTCCCATTTACCGCGAAAATGAGCAACTATCAAGGGGTGGTATCTGAAGATTATTGTCCAAGCGCCATATATATATATATATATATATATATATATATATATATATATATATATATATATATATATATATAATTTCGGGTTATATCAAATAGTCACCACAGAGATATAACAGAACCGAAGGAAAGTGCCGAACACATATTTCCTTTCTGAATTTGAAAGAACAGGAACAAACATTGGAGCAGAACAATATGAATCCATTTTACTATGATATAATAAGCACAGACGGAATGAAATCGATACATTGTGCTTTGCTGTTAGTTCTTACTTTTATCAAAGCATATTTACTGGGTTGATAAATCATCTAGTTCAATCTCTCAATAATTGGATTGATCTCCAGCTGCTTTTTCAAATCATCGTCATAATAATATTTATCGGAATTAGACTTTATCTCTTCCTCTATGCGAATTAAGTGGTAATAATGAAATTTCCAAGAACAAAGCTTGGAGAACATCAAACTAGTTTCTGCTGTTAAGTAATTTGATTTATGAGCTACAATAAGTATGTAAAGATAATGAAGTGATGCCAGATCTTTTCTAGACCTTGAATTACTGAGTTATAAAGGGGAGACATATCTGAACTGGACATTTTGCAGGTGAATTGATTTTTCTGTTGTTTTTGTCGGGAGTCGACATCACTTGGAGAACCATTAAAAACCAACTAGAACTTGATACAGCCCTTTGATCGTCAATCGTTCTGTAGCTGATGTCACTTCCTGCTGGGAACAGCCATGAAAGCGACATATTTAGCACAAGAATTTGTGTATACCGACTTCATTTTCATAGTCTCTGCAATGACATCTATCTTCAGTCGGTTTCTATGTTGAATATAATGTGTACTTACATGGTCTGCGAAGACATCGATTCCTCGTAAATTGTATTTACAGAAAATAAACTAAATTATTTGTCTGTACCGTTTTGGCTGCACGTAAACTTATAAGCTGGATTTACAGTTTAGCAAAACAAAAGAATGTACCTAAGTGAATCAATATATGAGAAACGGAATAGTAATTCCTCATCTAAATTGAAAGCCAACAGTTGGATTGGAAATAATTGAATTCAACTGCAGGGGGATTGAATAGTATTTAGAAAGTGGGGTCACGAAGGCTATTAAAGAAGTTGGTTTAATACTCTGTTTATTGTAAAAACATATCGTTGTCTCTTTATATTCAGATTTAATCATTCCGAACCTAGCTGATTTTCCTCTCGTTACAATTGTTAACTTTCGATCTAGATTAAGCTATCTATAGTTTCAAGCGTTGACCAGAGTCTGTTGAAAATATTCGAGAAGTTGCACAACACTGCTTGACAATTCATATTTTTTTTTCGAACTGATGGTAACGTTTTGAATAATAGGTCAAGTTTTATGCCACAGTTTAGTTATGTAGCAGTTTTACGCTAAAAAAATCTTATCTATTTGAACTCAGGTAGTTGTGTTTGGAGTGGAAGAGAGTCACTTGCGATGACTTTAATGAATATTGCTCTCAAAGGATGTCTTCTGTTCAGATTTTTGTTATCACTGCTGAAAGGGTGACTCCATTCGTTTTTGAATTCTTGAAGATCTGTCTACTCAAAGAATTTTTCCATCCATTTAGTGTCTCCATACGAGTGAGTTCTGATAGGCTAAGGTACTGATAAAATGCGGGATTTTTGCACGTAATGGTAGAAAGTCCGAGATTATTTCACATGTACTTTACAGCTGCTAAACATTAGATGTTATTTAGGGATGATTCTGCACTGAAAAGTAGTTAAGGGGAAAGGGAGGCAGTGGTCAATGCTTTCCTCCCTGCATTTAATTAGCGATTTGTCTTAGCTCTCTACTACTAACCCGTCCCAGAACAGCAATGCCTTTCGTTGAGTAGGGGGACATAACGAACGAGTTCTTCAGGTCCGGAGAAATATACAGTCCCTACACTGTCTTGAATAGGTCGAGGATTAATCTACCCTCAAAACGTCAGGACTTAATAACCCTTGTTCTTGACAAAGGGACACTGAGGTGAAGCTCGAAGTACATCTATAAGGATAACCCTGGTATCTTTTCCGCTGCAAGAATAATAGATATTTGTTCCCGCTAGAGGATAATTAATAATAAACAGAGCTAGACATATTTGTCTACTATCCCTATCTTACACTTATCCATCTTGATCGAGAGAAGATTTCCACTCTTCTAGTTCTGGATTTTAGATAGGTACTCCTTGAAGTCAGGGACATCCGTTCGTACTTGTATTCCCATCCTAATCGTAAGTTTAGTGACTGAAAACTCAGAGTACCAGGCAAATCGTTTATAAAAACAACAAACCAAGGATGGAATCTTTAGTCAACCCACTAACCAATGGAGCCAGATAAAAAGGAGTAACATCTTACTGACTGCAACTGATCAATAAGGTAGTCTCTAAACTAACTTACTTCCCATATATCTTCACATGCTCAAATTTCTCACATGGTATGTCATGATTTACCCCGTCAAATGCCTTAGAGACGTGAAGTAGTCCAATATGAATAGTCTTTTGCGGCTCAACAGACAGTTTAGGCTATTATTATCAATAGAGTTACTAAGATTGGAAATATGAATATTGATAGAAACAAGAAGGGGAAGAGGTGTACAGAGTAAACCTAGGAGTTACATCATGTTGACGGCCACGGTAATGAAAGTGGCCGAACAAACTTCTTTTGCATACAAAGGCTGGGTTTGTGAAGGTGGATTGCCATTGCCTCTGCTATGTGAAGTAACCGAGTGCGTAATCCATGAGGTAGATTAACTGGGATTTGATGGATGATTTTGAAGGCTTTTCCAGTAACCACTTGATGTCCCGTGTCAACTAAGTGTGCAAGTATTGAGCTCTTTATAATTCTAATTTGTCCCTTGTTCAACCATTATGGGTGGTGCTCGGAAATTCGTCTATGGAACTGCCTCATTGTACGCCTAATGTAACTAGCTCCACAGGAGCAGTTGAATTGATGAATGCAGTGGCAGAATCAGGCGGTTTGTCTTTATTTCTTGCACCTAGAATGGTGCGGTTGTAGAAGGTGGGACATAATTTAGCAGCTGGGAACGCTTTATGCAAGACTCTTTTTATGCGTTGTGTGATGATCTCACTGGCAATATCACTCTTAAATTGCAGCCTCGAGAAGATTTGCTTCTTAAGAAGTGTTGGCACTGTTGTCTTAACCCTCGTCGTATTCATGTGCTTAGTTTACAAAACTGTCTGTGTAGCCATTCCTACTAAGCAGATCACGGATGGTGGCCCAGTCCTACTGTACAGCATCCCCTCAGCAAACAGCTGAGGCATTTCACTAGGTTCCATATTGACAGAACTACTTCTGAGGTGTACGATGAATGCAAAATTTCTTCAGAATTTGAATTCAAAAATATGTAAGTGCTTATTATTGAAATAAAAGATATTTTTTGGATTTGAAGATCAGTTTCAAAGGCTAATATCAGCTAATAGAGATTCAGCTTGAGATGAATTAAGAGTAAAGTTGCGGAACTGATTCCACTTTATCATTATTATTATTATTATTATTATTATTATTATTATTATTATTATTATTATTATTTGTCCCTTCCGTTCCTAGTGGAACAGAGGGATTCAGTAGCACGTCTCTACTCAACTCCACTCTCTTCTCTGCAGTCTTTTCAACCTGGCTTCACCACTATCAACAAACTTTCATTTCTGCCACACACCATCTCCTCCATGTCACCCTCAACTGAGACGTTCAACTCGTCGTTTCCCTCTGAATTCCACTCAATGGCCTGACCTGGCGCGTGATGTCCCCAACCAGTCTTCTCAGTCTATTCCCAATCCAATCTATCTCCACTTTCTTCTGCATATTTGTTGGACAATGGGTTCTTGGTTGATTTGCTGCCAGTCAGCCAGCCAGCCAGACAGACAGAAAGACAGACAGACAGCCAACCAGCCAAAGTTCCTCGTTGCCTATTCTTTCTGCCAATCCATCTGATCTCCATCTTCAGTATCGAGTGAGCGTAGGCAGCAGCTGTTGACGTATATCTGCAGTTTGTTGGAAACGCTTTTCGTGACGCGCCAAGTCTCTCAACCATCACATAGAAGCACTGACTGACATTAGTGTTGTTCACGCTTTATGCTGAGT